GATGCTCACTAGACCTCTGCATCCTTCTTTACGCTTAGCGTATAGTCTTTAAATGCTGGATTTGGGGTGAAGCCCACCAGGCATGGTGAATAGGTTTTATATTTTAATCAATGGGCAAGATAATTGCCCTTCAAGCTGACTTCTTCGAACTTGCCTTACTAGCTGCAGGTATTTGACTGTTTATGCTTTTTCTTGTGGCTTCTTTTTGTTCTTTGTGTGTTTCTCTTTGTGTGAAATACCATCCCTCTCTTCGTCACCATCTAGGCAAATTTCCTCAGCCCAAATAACATTACAATGTGCCTGCTGTATGTCCTGGTGGTGTGGATCTGGAGTCAATGTCCCACTCACTCTTATCATGCAGCTTGATGTCACCCATTAACAGCAGGTGGCTGAAATTCTGAGATGTTGTCTATAGCCAGTCTTGTTGATTATTTTGCTGAGAGGTTTTAGGCCTATGTAGAACAGTAGGTCTGAGTACCACACAACCCATCTTTAATGTAATGCTTCAATTGGTTGCTAAGTTGGAACCATTTAACATGAATGCGCTTGACTCAACAATAAATGCATTTGCCCAACACTATCAAAATGTTACCCTGGTATAAGCTAGACTGATACATGTAGTTCAATTTGAAATCTACACAGAGTTCGTCTAAGAAGGCTCCTATGGAATGTGATCAAAAACAGACATTCAGAAATACTCTTCAAGCTGATTAGATAAATCACCCAGTGGTACCCGCCTCCCATCTCAAGCTTTTAGCCAATGGGCTTCCTGAAGTTAAAGCAGCTACTTTGTTTTCTGTCTTCATTACTGGATCCAGGTGTGTCTGGCCAATGTCTTCTTGGCTAGACACATCTGGCACACCTGGATTAATCAGTTCATCAAGTAATGTAAGAAAGGAAACAAAGGAGTCTTAAAGTAGTGGAGTTATGCATAGAGCCTATTGTAGTAACTGTGGCGTATTACATTCTTGATTTATTTCAACACTAGTGGAGTTAACCCATAAATCAAACTCTACCAAATCCTGTCAGGAAGAACATATAAACATCTTTCCGAATCACATAAGCACAAATCGAGTCCTTTTGCTTATTTAAAAAACTAAACAAAAAAAACAGGTGCAGCCATGATTGCTTTGCTTCAGCATTCTGCTTCTTGTTGACGTCATATACGTCACTGCATTTCATTACTTTGAAACATTTCTATATTGAGTTTATTGCATCTATTGGCCTTGTGAGTCCGTGAATTAAAAAATCTCGCAAAAATTAATTTTGCTTGCAAGTTAATTGAATTGAACAAGCACTCCAGCTACCAGCATTCTCTAATGTCAGCAGCAAATAGTACATTCCTTGTTAACATATGGGGTTCCACATTCTCAAAGATGTGCAAAAATGCAAGACAGTGGTCAGCCAGTTTTCTAACTTGAGTGATAAAAAGAAATTGCTATTTTTATGTCTCTCCTCTAATGCTGCCAAGGGCAACTTTTATGCAAATCAAGAACCTCTGCTAGGAACCTCTGAGACTACAGACCAATTTCTCTCCATCTTTCGTTTAAGGTGTTGTTGAAATATGAATAGATATGCTTGTGCCGCATCTCCTGAGTAGTAACTCTGACTGAAAAGGCATAGTTGTGTAACATTTTTCAACAATGTCAGTTGTCCATTTCAGGGTTATGGGCTCTTCAAGTGTGGTTTTGTCTTGGCCCCTCTTGGATTAACTATTTTGTTTAGTCTCCCTAATGATCTCCTTATATAGAACAATGTTGACTGCCTAAACATTTTATCAGGACCTCATTTCGGAAAAAATTTAAACATCTCGCTCAGGTGACCTCCTGAACTTGTTTTGACTTTTAGTGACCGACACCAAGAACCTTTAAGCACCACCCCTAAAACACAGAAATGGGGGTGCAAACGTAAAGTGTCTTCCAAATGTGATGGAGTTCTGCAACTCAAAGCCCACTAAAAGTTATTCATGAGAAGGGGCTAGTTTTAAAAAACTAGGCCACCTAAAACAACCAGAGATATCCAGGTACCTGCGAAGAGACTGCAAATCCCCTGGATTCATTATTTAAGCATGCACTGACGGGCCAGAGAGCATCCTAATTGTCACTTACTGAATCAAGTCGTTATCACTGTGTGCATTTATAGCACTAAACCATACTCAACTAAATTGCCTTTGCAGTGCGTGGGTCCCAGTGCGTGGGTCTAATTATGAGAAACACCCTCATCAGCTTTTTGTCGAGCCGCACAGTTTGTTGTGGCTCAATGCTGGTATTTGGTTTGTCAATGAGATGTAAAATTCAAAAGCAGGCGTTTGATTCCCTGATGAAGACTTAAATAAATCATTAAGGCATCTATAAATAGAGTGTTGCTGAGCAGTCAGGAAAATGACTTCATGTAATTATTTATGTTAAAGCAAAAAATAATTAATTATGAATGTTTTGTGACAAGCTTAACATTAGAATGGTAGCTGAGAGGGGGTTATGAATTTGGGTCAAGCAGAGGGAGCGCAGAAAAAAAAAATCCTGTCTGTGATTACAGACGGTGCAAAAAAAGGAATTGCGCTGGTATGTTTACTTCTGTGTGTGCGCCTGAGTGCATGTGTAGCAGTATTAACAAGGGTGAAAACCCACATTTTCACTTTTTTTTTTTTTTCACATTGCTGGAGTTTAAATGTGTGAGCTTGCGTGATGAGAGTACCAATCAGATATTGTTCACACTCTTTGGATTAAGCTTCATCATGAATTCATATCTAATAAGGTGGGTTGTAGCTCACGTTCTAAGGTATCAGAGTATTATTAAAAGTTTCTTTCAGTTATATTTAGCTGCCTGCTAATTACATAAAAAGAGAACACGAGAAGATTGTTGTATGTTCAATAACATGTGCATTCCCCATAATTTGGCAATTAGTTAAATTGATTGAAAGCTAAGACATCATATCCCTTAAGGATGAAGGCAACAACACAGAGTGCCTTGTTAGAAATGCATGGTGCAGCAAGCAGATCATTCCCTCTGAAGTTACTACATATCTAAGCAGAGAGGCTGTAAAAGGAGATGGGAGAAATACTTTACAGCAGTGTGTTGATATCAGGCATTTGATTTTATTTATTTTGCTTTGAGATTAAAAGACAGAAACATGCCTCACATGTAAATGAGACCGGTGTGATCGGAAATTACCATTAATGATATTTACCAAGTAAGACTGTATGCAAATGGTGACATTTCCCCCTTCTTTTTCTGATTCGATGAGCATGTTACCTCTCTGTGGATACGCGGCGGTGGATAATGTGTTTACAATCATACGCTGGCCCCATCTCTGTCGCCACTGACTGACGGAGAGGAGCTGTATAAATGATATCTGCCGCTTTCAAGTGCAGTAGATTAGTAAGGAAGCTCTTGAAACAATAATGCCCTCATATTGACGCTAGGCCTTCTCCTCCAGCGTACTCAGAAGTAGTGAGGGGGCACACTTGGCTGTCAATACAAAGGCTCAATGGGCTCTCTACAGAATTGACATATTAAAATGAAGTCTAAGATTAAAATACCAAAATAGGGTTATGTAGGTGCAGGAATACAACTTATCGTTTGAAAAGTGTGGTTCAGATCCTGTAAAAAAAGGTTGTACTGAGAGCATCCTGTAATGCATGACTGGAAACCTTATAAATAATGTTTTTGATTAACAGTTCGGAAAGAATTGTGCTGCTGTTTCTACTGTGTTGAAAACAGCAGAAGAAAAAAACATGTAGACTTCTTACATACCATAAATTTAGCTTTCCTGAGTCAGATTTAGACGTTTGTTATACAATAATGTTCATTAAAATGGTGCCAGCAGCAAAAACTGCTGGTTGAGGAGTCACTGTCCTAAAAGAAAGCCTAGAGAAAAGAAAAGGAAGGGGGGGATCATGACAGAAATGGAGTTTTGTCTGACAGTGTGGTCCATCAATCAAGTCAAGAGGAAACAGATTAATAGAACAGAGGTCATGTGAGGTCATGTGATTTTTGATACAGCCTTGGCACTGCTTCTGCTATTTGCTTTAAAAACCCTCAGTCTTCTCAGTCGTGAGAGAATAGCTGCAGGTCAGACTTTAATAAAGGCTTCTACATCGCCACTGAATGCATCACTGCTCCCACGCCACACCAAAATAATAACCATGACAAGGTTATAAAAAAAGAAGTTCACAACAAGTATGAGATTGTGTCATCAGCTAAAGTCCTTTATTTGCAGTAAATGTTAATACATAGGAATTTTATCAAGAAGTTCAATTTTTAGCATCCAATTTAAAAATGAAGCTTTATTTTTAAATGCATTACACAGAATGATACATACCTTTTGAGGGTTTGTTTCTGTTCACCTAATAATAATGGCTTTAAGGAAATAAAAAAAATCTATTTATCAGAACATAATAATTTTATGCATGATCAATAAAATGAAGTATTTTGAATTATATGTTGTGCCTTAGTAGATATGCGGAGGAGGGCATATTTGACGGTTGTAACACAGACACCTTGCTTAAAAAGCTTAACCACAAATAGCAACTGTTAAAGAAATTAGCTGCTGTCACTGTTTTGTTTCCAAACATTTTAATGTAAAACTTTGTGAAAGGAAAATAAATTACAGAAGAGAAAAGAAAAAAAAAAGATAAAGATGCACAATTGAACTGTGATAATGGGACTCTTGAGGGGATAGTGCAGTAAAACTCAATGAAGAGCTTAGTAAACAAGGTTTAGAATATAAAGCTGTGGTAAATCCATATGATGGGTGGTTCTCATTTAAAATCAGTTTCTTAAACATCAACCTTTTAAATATATGTATTTTTTAGATTTTATATTTCATAAAGATAAAACAAGACATACTTCTAAATTGCTATACCTCTAACTTGCTATATATATTAACCTTTCTTTAGAAAGGTCTAAATTAGGCATATCTCAAAAAGATCAAATCTTCAAACAGAAGCAAAAAACCCAATCTTTTTATGTATTCTTCTCTTGTCTGTTGTTCCTTCCAGCTGTACATTCAGACAACCACCCTGACTGTCTCCATGAACCTCAGTGCCTCAGTTGCGCTGGGCATGCTCTACATGCCCAAGGTGTACATCATTATCTTCCACCCTGAGCTGAACGTGCAGAAGAGGAAGCGTAGCTTCAAGGCTGTGGTCACCGCTGCTACAATGTCATCCCGTCTGTCCCAGAAACCCAGTGAGCGGCCCAACGGCGAGGCCAAGACCGAGCTGTGTGAGAACCCCGCTGCTGACCCCATGAGTGAGTACACGCCGTAAAGGTCACCCTGTAAAGTCTTAAAGACACACAAGTTTGCAGAATAAAGGTATCTTAAACTTGTATTTATCTAACCTTTACAAAAATAAAAAAGACACTTTTTCTTCAAAAGTCTTTTCCAGCTTGATAAAACGTATTAAGGGAAATGCCACAACATACAAAATGATATCGGCAACATTATTGAATGATAACACCTATATACATCTAGTGCAAAGTATTCTGGTTGAAATAAAATATTTTATCAACTTAAATTTAAACATTTTCTTTATTCTTCAGTTAGCAAGCAGGAATTATATTTACCACCTATAAAGTCCCACCTATAAAGTCCCTGAACAAGACAATTTTATATATATATATATATATATATATATATATATATATATATATATATATATATATATATATATATATATATATATATATATATATAAAATTGTCTTAAATAATGTAAATAAACCTATTTGGCGTCTTTTTCTTCACATTAGAGATTTTGCAGCCTTTGAAGTGTTGCTGACATAAAGCGTAGATTATTACTAGATAGGTGTCAGCAGAGGTGGTGCTAGCCATTTGGGGGCCATTAGCTTGAATACTTTGTGGTCTACAATGATAGAAAACTCCAAAGGTTTCTTCTGTTTTCTCCATTTAAGGCGAGCCTACAGCTGCACCTAGCATGTTGAGTGGGAGAGGTAGACAGAAAATAAGTCTGGGTGGAGCTGTCTCGCAGCTTTTTAAAAAGTATATAAATACCTAAAAGATACAATAAAATAATATTCAAATTACAGCCCAGAGAAGGTCTAAAAAGCATGAAGAAATGTGTATTAATTGCCTATTAAAACATCTTTTACGACGTTAAAAATAATTTGCGTTAACGAACCTTAACGTATTAAAGCTCAATAACTCTGTAAGGTGATTTCAACGCTCACGTTAGCAAGCTGTTTTCCATTCCAAGCTCATCTCGCTGTTTCTTCTTCTCTTTCCAACACCAAAGTCTTGATGCTTTTTCCAGACAAAGGTGTGAGCCAAAATCAAACAGATCATTGGGCAAGACAAGGCAAGTTTTCTGCTCCACTGGGAGGAAGGTGCAGGGTGCCCCACAGGAATGAGAGGTCCATCTTATTTTGGGGCTTTTTTGTATTGTATACAGTATATTTAAAAACAAGCTTTTGATATCATGATTAATAGAATTATGATTTTTACCAACCGTACTTTCTTTTGTGCCTTGCTAAAAGTTCTGTAATCCGGTGAAATTTTATAAAATCACTTAATTCTGTCTTGATGTGCGTCGAAGAAACTAACTAAAAGCAATAATCATACTATTACCATTGGACTTGTAATCGCAAAGGGCAAAATAAAAGTGCATGCTTTAAATACCACCACTATAATCTGGAGTTTTCTGCTCAACACGTTTCATTTCATGTAAAATTAATGAATTATGAGAATGACTAATAAAAGGCGTAGACAGTCATCTGCAATTACCAGCTGCTCAGTCTTCAGGTCACATTGAGTACCACCACATATCTCGATAACAGTAGCTTTCATCCTTCAAATCTTGGTAAAGTTACTTGTGGTGTCTTAGTTACTTCTTCTCACCATCTTAATTACAACAAGCTCCATATTTACTTTCAGGTCTTTGCGCATTAGTAAGCAAGTGTTTAGAAGTCTCCCTGTCCGTGTAATTTGACCATGAAACAAATGTCAATTTTGTTTGAATCCTAAAATGATTATGTTAATGATCCTTGACAATGGATCCTTGATAAATACAATATTCTTACAGAGTACATACAATATATCTACCAGCTAAAAATAAAAAGTTTTTTTTTTTTATTAATGTTATTACATTTCTTTTTTCTGACAAACTAAGTGATATTGTAATCGTTTGACATTAGCTTAATTTCAGTGGCAGCTTGTTGTTTATCAGGAATTAGTTAATTAAGTCTGATATCAGGAAATTATGCAAACCACAAATCCCCAAGAATTCAACTCTGACTCGGAGCTGCACATTAGATGTGAATTAGCTGTTTTTTTGCATTTAAATCCCATCCTAGATCTCCCCCATATTTCCTTTACTTTCCTAGAAAATCCATTCCCCTGATTTAATTGGTTGCTAGTATTATAAGCGATATCCTCCACTGAGGAGCAAGTTATCTTTTATCCCAATAAATGGCAAGAGCTTTTGTCCAAGTTCATGACAGCGAGCGTGGGAGACGATGCTCTGAGAAGGATTAAAAAAAAGGAAAAACAGGATTCTGTCGCTGAAAAGTGAGGCAGATAATCTGTCTATGTTGCTGTGTGTTACTCATGCCAGCCTTCATCTCAAACAGTTTGCATGATCCTATTAGCAAAGATAATGCTTGGTATTAGTAGGTGAGTGAGGCAGCCTACGTATTCCCACGTTTGGATGATACAGTGTTTGTTTTGGATGAGAATCCAAAAAAACTAGAAAGAGTTTGAAAGGTTAAAAATATACGAATAAAAATGCTGTATTTCAGATGCCTATTGCAGCAGAATCTGTTTGCTCATCTTTAACTGTCAGGGACAGAGACAGAGAAGATTGACAACCCATGCAAATCACACATCACAGCTTTCACAGACCCCCGCTCCCCCAAGCGCCTCTAATCATGTCGAGCAATCATGGCACCCACAGGTGCGCTGTTCCCTCACTCCCTCTTTGAATTACGTCTCTGAGGTAACAGATTTTCCAGGGAATTTCTCCAAACAGTTGTCACATTCATCTGTTATGAGCCCAACATGCTGGCTTGTGTCTGAGCAACTGCAAGCATATATGCCTACGCGTGAAGCAGTATGTGTGAGGTGAACACATGTAAGTCAGAGAGCTGGGTGAGTGTATCAGGGGAGGGCGAATATATCCTTGCCTTTCACACATGTGCCTCATTGACTCGAAGTACACTCTGAACCAAGGGTAAAATCATAACATCTGTTGCAATAGCACATAAAAAAGTCCCCAAGCAGGACAAGCAAGCTCTGGAGGGAAGTCCCAAAAGTGCCCGATGTCATCTGTTCTGTGTGTCTCTCACCTTCTGTCTCTGCTGCATGAATATTTTCTCGACTCGTCCCTCTACCCCAAACGCTCTCTCCTCCTTTTCGCCCTCCTTTTTCAGCAACAGTGGAAGTGACATTTATTAATGGCGAATTTATGTGCATGACCGCCCTGAAACCTGAACTGTGCCTCGTCCATCCCAGGAGACTGTCCGTCAACTCCTGTAACCGTCAGAGCACCAACCACCTCCTTTTCAGGCCCCTCCAAGCCCATACAAAATGACTCAGAGTGATTTATAGGATTCAGAGCATTAGCAATTCTGCAGATTTATATTGGTATTGATAAGGTGTAATATCTTCATGATTACCGCTCTCAGACAGGAGCATTTGCTCTGTAATTCTGTTGAATTGATTCAGTGTCGATCACAATTTTCCGATCGGGCATGTGTGTCTATGTATGTGTCAGGGCCCTATTTTTAGATGGGTTTTTTTCTCTCAACAATGGAAAATGCCTTAATAAAAGAGTGTAACAAAAGACAAACTACACATAAGAGGTATAGGGTATAAGGTATAAGATAAGACAACATAAGCTTTCAATGAGCAAAAACAAACTGTAAGATAGTAAAGGTAAATTAATCATTCCAGGACCTGTAAACACAGACCAAATTGGCTCCCCCATTCAAAAGTTTTGTAAAAGAATGTTAATGATAACAAGCACAAGCCTGTTGTGCACATACTAATGTTTTATTCATCGTATTTGCAGGCTGAGACCACAAAATCCAGCGGTAAAGAAGTAGTGCGACTTTAATTGTGTAGCCCATGGTGAGCTGGTTGCCATAGCAACGTTAACACAGTAGAATAGGAATTAAGTACATTGTGTGCGATCAAGATTTACATACCGATTTTTCCCAACACAGAGACTTTTCTTTGCACAAGCACAAAATGCAGAGATTAACTCAGATGTAATAAGCCAAAAGAGTAGATCATTAAAAAGAAAAAACAGATAATATTTTTATGTTAAAGAAAAATATGTAATGTTGGATGTGCATTTGTATTGAAGCCCCAATTACTTTTATACCATGGGAAAAGAAATGAGCACAATGAAGTTCATTTGTTAGCGAACAGTAGTCTGCAAAAAGCCTCATGAAGACCAAGCAAGTGCTGGAGGAGTTTAAAGTAGGGTTTGTTTTAAAGTAAACCTGGCACAACATGACCATACACTTAAAATAACACACTGAGCAAGTAGAGCATTAATCAGAGGAGCATAGCGTGACCAGATCTGAAAAAAAACATATGTGGGACAGCTAAAATACGTATGAGGAACAATGCATTACAGAGATGTTTTTCTCAGCTGTGCATTTGTTTTACAGTATTGCTTTACATCAAGCTCCCATCGTGTCAAACTGAAAAATAACGTTGGCAAACTTTACAAAAAGCCCTTTGAAAATCCCCACTCACTATTTTACCAGTTATAAACACTTCCATAGTCTTTCTCTTTCACAGTGCTTTCTTTGCATTTAGGAAAGGTTCCTGTAAATAAATTTTTATCTCTTGGTGTCATTAGACCAAGTTAAGTGTGGGACATTACTTCGGTTTGTGTGCAGATTAAAAATGCGGGACTGTCCCACACAATTTGGGACATCTGTTCAACCTAGAGAAGCAGTAAAATGCCTCTGGATAAACTGCAGAAATCTGTTTCTCAGGTGGGAGGACAGAGGATGCAACAACTATCAGAATGTTCACTTTGCAAAATTGGCTTTAGAATGCTAAGAAGAAACCCATAGATGAAAGTAAACCATAGGAAGTCTTATTCACAGTTAACACACGCCAAGCCCTGTGGGAGGTACGCCAAATGTAAAAGAAACTGTTTACATGAGACAAAAATCTAACTTGTTGGCCTAAATGCACAAAACCCGGTGTTTAGAACAACTACAGCTATATGCCATTTTGAAAGTATTCCTTACACAGTGAAAGAATGTGGTAGCTAAATCATGCTATGGGCCTGCTTTTATAAGTAGAAAATCTAGGCTTAGTCAGATGTGATCTAAAGAATGATGGAGTTAAATGCATGCCAGTATTGAAGGCAAGCGTGTTGGAGACTGCAAGACTGCGACGGAGCTTCAAAACAAGAAGCACTAAACTGTGTGGGCAGAAAAAAGAAAACCCCATTGAATATTGGCCATATTGAAGGATGTCTTGGAAGTTTATGTTCATGCAGACCAGTTTGATTATATCCTGTTTATGTATGTAAATTGCATTTGCTGCTGTTTTGGACTTGCCATCCAAAAAGATGAAGTTCTAAGCCATGGAGTTGGCACCACTAATGAGAAGAATTATTTAAAAAAAAAAAATACTAAGAACTTGGAGGAATATTATTTATAGTTCACTGTGAGTATCTGAAAGTCCTACAAACAAAAGCAAAAATATTAAAAAGATAAAAAATAATGAAAGTCAAATTCAAAAGATTCAACATCTATCATAAAACCTTAAAAAAGGCTGACTGTTAGCTCGTCCCAACCACTACTTTGCCAGAGAAGAAGCCATGATCAGATTTACAATAAGATTTAACTCTAAACAGCTGGAATTATCTTCATGAAACCAATACGAATTCACAAAAAGTATTCCAAAACAAGTAACATAAATGCTTCCTACAGAGCCAATAAGGGAACATTTTGACAGAAAATAAGTCCCACTGCCACCAATTAAGGATTTTTTGTTTGGTTTTAATGTAAATCCAAAAATATTTTCGGTCCCATTGCATCAATTCGCAGACTTTTTTTGCTGCACATGTATCCTTAATTAAAAATTGGATCTGACATAGTATTGATGTAGATGGGTTGACTACATCTACTGTACAGGCCACAGTTTTTTTTATTCTTATTCTGAAAATGGTTTAAGAAACAAGTTTTCTTCACAATAATGTATACTTTAGAATTATCAATCATAGTAAATGCTATTTAAATAATGTTTAAAATTATATTCCATAAAAACGTTTCTTCAATTTTCTGCAGAGCACTGGATCTTTGTAGTACTGGTGTGTCATTTTCCTCAACTAAATAATAGCTCCTACACCAGTCTGTCTCAACCTTCAGTCTGCATACCTGCCCCCACATCCCTTTGTCAAAACAGAGACACTTAAATGTCTTCAAGATGCAAAAACTTAAGAATAGGTTTCTGATTTATAATTTATTTATTTTAAATATTTTTGAGGTGACATTTTGCTTTAACGGAAACTAAAAGCCACCTTGATCTTTTATGTATTTTTTCCAGGAATTAGATGTCAGTATGTTTTATAGCAACTGGTTACAGGCTTTTGCTTTTATTCTGACAGGGAGCTGAAGACTGCTACATGTACATATACAGTAAGAAAGACTAAGCTCCAGCTCTGTTTGATCATTTTGACCGCAACTTCACCTCCTCTGACAGTTAAAAACCTTTTGTTGTTAAGGTTTAAGATGTTTTTCTTCCATAATAAATCAGCTCGTAGACAGGGTAACATATCACTTCTGAGCTACGTATCTTATGTTCTCTGACTGAATTTAAAAGAGAGATGCTACTTTTATTAGTATGCATACATATACAGTATATCACAAAAAGGGGTAAAAATGGTTCATAACTTATGAATAATTATGCTTTTGTAATGGGACAACACTAAAGAAATGACACAAATATAAAGTAGTCAGTGTACAGCTTGTGTAGGAGTGCAGATTTGCCAATAAAAAAGTATTTATCTGAAATCTGCTTTTAGAAACTTTAATTCCAAAAATTGCCCTAAAATTTTTGCAAGTACTATACCTGTATTAGGAAATTATGTTTTTTTGTGTGTTCCTCTTTTTTTTTTTTTGATAATTTTGAATTAGATTTCAAGTCTTAGTGTTTTCTAAGTTAAATAAAAAACTAAATATATTAAAATTAAACTTCAAATATAATATTCCAATAATTAAAAAACAAACTATTGGTGCATAAAGTTATCCGTTTAATCTAAGTTTCCTAGTTTCAGCTTTTTTTTTTTTTTTAGAAGGGCACAAGAAGTTTTTCTAGAAAAATTCCTCAAACTCCAGGTTTTGCACCTCAGATCGTTCCTTGTAGCTTTTAGTTTTCACCTTCGTCAGCCTGTGGTGTCATGTAGGAAATTGTTGCCAGTCTAGCCACAGATCTTAACCTGGATTTTTGTTTGCTAGAGCATAATCCAAAGCTCAATTTAACATCAAAATTACTTGGCATGGGCATAACCTGATCCAGGAAAGGATTTAACTGCAAGCACATATGCATGACTCCAAAATACTTATGCCTTCTATAAATGAAAGCCATATCTTGAGCTTTGATATGAATCTGTGCTTATTTCTAGGTGGTTAGTAGTGTGATTGTAAGCATCTATCTATTTATCAAACAGACAACACCACACCATGATCATGTGACTTATCTTATAAGAGGTTCCCCCTCTGGGATAACAACCATGCTGATCAATCTCATGCACTGTGGCACATGGATAATCCCCATAATACTATCCCCTTCAAAACCTGCATCAGTGGTAGCAGCTACCTTTGGACATTCAACTTTGGTAGACCAATATTGGGCCTGTTCTGATCTACAACCAAAATAATATTTTTGTGGATATGTAATTTGTAAAGTAAAACATGAATACAATTTAACTAAAACTTTTTTTTTTCTTTTTTACCTTATTGGGATATTTTGAAAGTTGATTCTCATTTGTAATAGTCAGGTGTGTAACTGCAGGTAGAAACTCTGAAGCAGGTCAAAAATATGTGTCATGATGGACCTAAGCTTGGTCTTTATAATCTTCATATGGGAGATGATTGATTTATAAAGGAACGTTAAACCAAGAAGAGATGACAGGCAGTTGGCACATCTAATACTAGGGTAGAGTCGTGACTTATGTCTGAAAGACGATCCTTAGCAATTCAGGCAGTAATTCTTATTATCCTCTGCTTTTGTTATTGTATAACATTCACTATTGTTTAAATGTTTTTAAAATCCTATTCACAGTCCACATTTGTGCAACACGTTGGTAAAAAAAAAATTAGATAAGGCCTTGAAATATAGCTTTTAAAAAGCAAAATTAGAAGTTTTCCACATGATAAAGATGTTATTGGTCTCTATGAGCCTGACTTTAGCCTCTGAAGAAAGGATCCACCCCGCCCAAAAGGGTTTAACTCAGAGTTTGTGCAATGGTAGCAATGGTAACTCATGTTTGTGTGATAAAATCATTATACCAGAACCACAAGGATCTGGTGCTGAGCAAGCAGCAACAAGTTAATTACTAGACATACTTTGGTATAACAAACCACAGCTTTCAAATAGCTATTTTACAGCATCAGAGGGGACTTAAAGATTAACCTCGACTGGAAACAATCCATCACCCTGGAATTAACTTTTACAGAGCACTAATTGTTTAAAAGGTCAAAATGAGCTTGAATGACCTAAAATGATAACAAAAATATATGTTTCCTCTCATAAGGGTTGAAACTGATATTGGTTCTCATTATGAAAGCTGTGCAGTATGACACACAAACACAAACGGCATCTGGGCGCTCAGCCATGCTCTGATACGTTTCCATGGCAATCGAGCCTGGATTCCCATTCCATGCCCTAACATTTGTTTGGTGCCCACTTTAGTGCTGTTTGTGATTTCTATCACCAGTTAACATCTGAAAATAGACGCTGAAGCTTTCCATGCAGGCAGTGCAAGCTGAAATGATGTGCTAGTCCAGAAAATATTGCAACTGATTGCGCACAGCTGGTGATAAGAATTCACAGCACAGTAGAAAGAGCCTGCCAAAGTGAATGATGCATATTTACTATTGAAATCGCCTTTCTATTCTGCTTTAGTTTTGTGTGAGAACAGCTCAAGTAAATCTAGTTTGTATGCTCTTTCTTTCACAGGTCAAGCAACTAAGAAAACATACGTGAGTTACAACAACCTCAGGATCTGATTAGAAACAAGCACTTTGTTTTTTGATGGTGATCTGAAAGAAAGCAACGGAAGCTGTAGGAACGGAGAAAAAAAGACAGAGCGCAGGCATCCTAGCACCACCTGCAGAACCTATGCACTCCAGGACTGTGAAAAGCATCCAACCTACATTCAGACATGATGCATGAGTCCTAACAGATAAGAAAAGAGCTTTGGGCCTGTGTGACTGGGACGACCCCTCAGAACCAACCACAGGTTATAAACTTGTGACGAGGCGCTCCTCTCTTTGTCTGACAGGGGACAAGTTGCCTGCTGAAAAAAGGGGTCATTATGAATGAGGAAAAAACACAAAAATACAGACATTGGATCTGCTTCAAAATCTTTCTTTTGAAATGTCATTAAAGCCATATTCTCTTGGGGTGTCCATTATCTGATTTCTGTTTTGTATTGTTTAAGTGATTTTCTTCGGTGCCTCTTTTCTCTTGTTGATTTGATTACCTTGAACAGCAAGCTCTGCCACACACAGCATTTTGTTTCAACAAGTTCAACTCAACCTAGTCTGAGATGTTTTTTAATCGAGTAATGGGCATTGTGAGTATATTTTTTTTGTAAATATTTGAGAGTATTTTCATGTTTGAAGAACACAGAAATAGATATCCAGTCTTTGTTCAGTTGGATTTGGATGGTAACTTAAAGCACCACAAAGTGTCCACTTTGCATGTGCCAATGTATGTCTGTTCTATTTGATGTGAACTAAATAAAAATAAAAAAAATCATAAGACAAATAAATACAGAAAATGATGATGAGCTTCTGCATCCTTCTGCAGTTTTAATTTTCTTTTTTATCTTTATCAGATGTGAATTTCGTTAGAACATGGAATATGGCTTTAAAGTGTAACTGAAAGCATGTTTGTTTTACATAGTTTTGTACTGGGTTTATTTTTGCCTAATTAAAGTGTGGGAAACATTCACATTGGAGCAATCATGCAAGTATGTTGTGATGTTTGTCAAATGATCAACATAATAAAACAATTTTTGTTATTGTTTATACAATGAAATTGGACAGCAAATTATAATCTTTTTTGTGCATGAACATAAAATAATCAATTTTAATGGGCACGACTGTGTTTTAGTTGGAGATCTTGAAAAAAGGTTTTAAACCAGTTGGTGGATTAGTATAATCAAAAGATGCTGTGTTTCTCTCTGGAAGCTGATGGGTATGTTGTTACTTTACAGTTTCTGATCGCTATATTGGTGAGCTCACTGAGCAGAGAAAAAACTTGATGACAAGAGTTCACCAGCAGAATCTTTCACTCTTATTTTCTTTTTACAATCTCACCCCTCTTTGTCATAGTTTGTTTTTGTAACTTATATTACCAATCACCAATGGCAGAACACAAATTTTACCCACTTTGCAGGTTAAAACCACAAACTTCAAGAACAAATGGAGTAGAATGAAACTGATTTGTGGTTTTCCAAACCACAAAGTTTTATCTTTGTTGCAATTACAGCTGTTAGACATTTTAAATATTTTACCTTGCATAAAAACATGAGCATTGCTTCTAACTGAAAAGCAACTCAAGCTCAGTTTGGACAGAGATCGTTGATGAATAAATTTTTTAATCTTGCCACAGATTTTCATTTGGATAACGTCCACTATGTCCATCTATCTCAACTTAACCAATGATCTCCAAAGTCAGTCCTCAAAGATGGCGTCCTGCATGTTTTATATCTTACCCTAGTTTCGCTAAACTGAGTTCCAACAAACGGTGGATTAGCAGGTCTCCTAAGAATCTGTTGAAAATTTGAAAAGATAACTCAACTATTCCTGTAAGCTATAATGGAGTACAAACACATCTAAAACCAAACTTTAAGGAATAAAGCCTTTCGGCTGTAATTCTGTGTTTGATGAGGTATGAATCTCAAGTCTTTTAGTAGGGTTTCTTCTCATATTGTTTTGTCAGTCTACCCATTGAGATCAATTTCCATAGACTTAGCACGGTTTTCCTGTTCATGTTTAATTAAGTGTCCTTACAACATTATGCTGCCACCACCATGCTTCATTGGGTGGGTGTTTTCATGTGCAGTGTCTTCTGCCACTCATAGCATTTTTCATGTGAGTTCTGAAATGTCAATGTTGGTCTCGTATGACCTAAGCATCATTTTCCTCATGCTTTCTTCTTCTTCTTTTTTTTTTTTACGTTTCCCATGTCAAAACTGCAAAGAGGACCATAGTAGGCTTTCTTTCAACATCCGGCTGTTTCCACAGATTTCCCCACCTTCAGCTTCCCCAAACATGTTTTAACTAAAACTTCTTAACAACGTCTAGGTGGGTTTTCAGTTTGTGCCAGACATTTTTCCTTGACATATGATTTAAACTTTGCACTACGATCTATCTAAGCCCAGATATAGTTTTTTCTAACCAAACTCTAGTTTAAACGACTTTATCCCTATCCAGTCATTGGTATTCATTGTGTCGCCAAATTTTCTCTAACAAACATCTGAGGCGTTCACAGAACAGCTTAGTTTATTTTAAGAATGAATTACAGGTGGTGTTAATTACAAATTAAATAAAATTTTCGGGAACACGTATTTGTTTATTTTCACTTCCCAATTACAGTAAATCAGATGATCTTCCCAGGTTCCCAATGGTATCTCCAAGACTCCATGACTCTTTGCAACTAAAGCTTCTAAAGTACTGCTCGCGATAGATGTAGTACACAATTTTGTTGCTTTATCAAAAATAAACAAATCTAAATACATCTATATAGTGATATCAATTTGAATAAGTTTGAAATTTTTTTTCCTATGTTCATGCTGTTCAACATACATTCTGTTGAAATATGTGGTATTAATCCTTGTATACAACATCAACATGCTTCCACAGAAATATTTCAGGTTCTTCAGCTTCTGTACATCCCCTTGAAGCTGCTACATGGGCGATGATGGCGACTCCTTTACCGTAGAATGTCTGTGAGCGTCAAAGCGAGGTAACAAGAGAGGCTGTCGGAAAAAAAAAAAAAAAAAACATTGTTCAAACCCACACAGGTTTTCTGTTGTTTCTTTTTCCATTTGTCTGGCATCTCTCAAAGCTCCTAAGGGACCAGATGGTCTTCACTTCTCATGCACACAGCCTGTCATTTTTTGTTGCACATAGCCAAGAAAAATCCCACTTATACCCAATTAAGACTAGCCTCTCCCCTGGCAAATTAATTGTCTGTGTCAGAGTCTGTGCGCAAGTAATCAGTGGGGGCTGAGCAGAGTTTAGATTTGCAGCTCAGCAAAATGAGCGGAACTGCTAAAAAGCTCAAGCAATAACTTTAGGAACATCGATATGAAACAAAAACAAAAGAATGTTAGAAAGTCTGATCCAAAAACGGTTTTCACCGAGCTAAAATAAAACAGACTATTCCAGCTCTACTTTCTCCTACGTAATGCTCCACCTGCTCAGAATGCACCTGCTCTGTAGGCAGCAGTTTTTCAGGTGGAATCAAGTGAGAAATACATCAAAGCAGGGGAACTAATCGCAGAGGACAGGCAGTCAGTGGGAGAACTTTTTTTTATGGTTTTACCTGTCAGTCTTACTTTCCCAACTATAATCTCTGATTATGTGGGGAAAGCAGACAATTTTATTATATAATAGTTGTACTAGATCCTTATAATTAATACCTACATTGAACATTATTCAGTAATCCCATTTTATTTTCAAAAATCAAAGAAAACTTTTCTCTAATTATTTGCAAAGCAGGATTAGAACTAATTAATTGGACAAATTGGCACAGACAATCAAATTCCAAATATAGAAAAAAGATTTTGGATGTTTATTTAGAATTCACATCAGCATATAAAAGGGATAAGCAATAACAAAAGGGCCTTTCAAACTTTCTTACACCTTTGATAAAGATAATAAAAGGGATTAAAATATATATATATATTGCAAAGTAAACTCAAACCTATTTTTTTAGAAAATTATAAGTGATATGTACACTATATTTCCAAAAGTATTTGCTCACCCACCCAAAATTTTTGGAATCAGGTGTTCCAATCACTTCAAAGGCCACAGGTGTATTAAATCAAGCTCACAGGCATGCAGGCTGTTGTTGCAAACATTTGTGAGAGATCAGGTTGCTCACAGGAGCTCAGTGAATTCCAGTGTGGAAACGAGAGTATGCCACCTCTGCAACAAATATAGTCATAAAAAATATCCTTGCTCCAAAATATTCCACAGTCCATTGTCAGAGGTATGATAATAAAATGGGAGTGTTTGGGAGCAATAGTAACTCAGTCACAAAGTGGTACAGTAGGCCGCATAAACTGATGGAGCGGAGTCAGTAAATGCTGAAGCGCCTCATCAGAGAGCTCGTCAACTTTCTGCAGAGTCAATTCCTTCACTCCTCCAAGCTTCATGTGGCCTTCAGATTAGCTCAAGAACAGTGTGCACCAGGGCCACTTAAAAAACTTTTAAACAGGGGGTGCTGTTAATTTTTTTGTTGGGTTTTTTTTTTTGGGACAAAATACCTTTGAGCTTATAGGCCAATTAAAATACAATAAAAATAAATAGGTAAATAGATTTAGATTCACTACTTTATTTTCATATATATACTTCACTGCACGCAACCAGGGTCTAACATACAGACATCAGTTCTCAGGTGAATATATGTGCTATTAATCAAACTTGACAATACCACTATAATAACATCATAGTACAGCTGCATGAACCTGAGTCACAGTTTATGTCGCACGTGACTATTAGCTCCAAAATCCTTTTACAGTAGCAGCCTTTCAAAGTGGCTCTTCCCAATCAAAAGCCAGCCGAATTGCAGCCGATTCAAATGGCAGCCGAATTCCCTCCAACTTCTAGCCACTGGCCTTCTCAGGGCGTGCATATTTTTTTTACTCTGACTCCACCCTTTCACTGAATTACGGGGTCTGACCAGGAGGTATTGCTTCTCTTTAGACCTTAATGTGCACAAATCATGACAGAAAGAACATTTAGTACAAAGTTTGATCTTTAATAAAGGAATCTTAGGGGACCTACAAAGGACCAGCCAAGGGCCCATCAAGGAAAGTGGGGAAATTTTAAATAGCTACTATTGTATGCAAGCCATAAGGAAATAATTATATTATTATACTATTTAAACATTATAAAACAGTTCTCCATTACACAAAGAGCACAAGATCAAAATAACACTCTAAATATTATAGTTACATTAAACTGCATGGATAGATGAAAGTGCGCATCAGAACCATGTTCTTAGTTTGAACTACAGGCAGGGTGCCCTCCCTGGTTACAGGTGTCTAAATGTTCAGGGGCACTCTTAAGTCATGGAGATAAAGTCTCTCATGAGCGGACAAATCAGAAATGCGCTTCTGTGCCATATTTCCTCCTCGTTTCTGTCATTAGCCTATATAAATTAACTAGTCTGCTGCTGCCAGTGGGATACCACGCTCTAGCTTGCTTTCTGTTGCCATGACAGCTTCCATGAACTTGTGCTGAATCCAAATACACGTAATAGTAAAATTAAAAAATGGCAAAATCATTTCCAAAAATATTCATAAGAATTTTATAATGTGTGCAAAGTATTTTTAATATTTTTTTATCTCTCTCTTGCCACTAGGGAGTGCTGCAGCACCCCCCCACCCCACATCCCATGGCCATGTGTGCACAGCGCTTCATTGAATGGGTTTCAATGGTCGATCAGCAAAGCACAATGACAGGTGTTGGATGTGGCAGTGGAAAGCTGCTGCTGGTGGACTTCAGAGCAGTGGAGACACGCTCTCTGGAGTAAGGGATCAGGTGTAATGTAGAAATTTATTGGACGAATCTAGGTTTGGCAGTTGCCAGGAGAACAGTTCTTGTCTGACTGCATTGCACCAAATGGAAAGTTTGGTGGAGGAGGGATTATGGTGTGGGTTTTTTTTTTCAAGATCTACACTTCACATCTTACTTTGAGTGAAAGGAGCTCTGAGTGCAATAAAGACATGGATGACAGAGCCTGGTGTGGATGAACTTGACTGGCCTACACAGATTCCTGATCCCAACTCCAT